GTTTTTTGTTGCCTAATCTATCTCCAGAGGTGATGATCTTCACAGAACAGTCAGAGAAATCCTCTAATTACCACATAACTGTGCTCTCAACAATAGGCCAATCCCAAGGATGTTTCTACAATATCAATGAGGAAGGTCTGTGGTCAAAGTGCAGAGAACTCAAGACACACTTGCAGGGATTTCACAGATTACAGGTTCCTGTCTTTGAGGGAACACATAACAAAGATTCAAGGTCATCTCTTTCCCCTAAGAGATCTCAATCACTACAAAGGGGAAAGAGTTTTGAAAGTGATCTGATCGTGCCGGACATGCCTGCTTTTGATACATTAAGATCATGGAAAAGGGGGCTGGGGATTTAGCTCAGCGGCATAAGCACCTGCCTTGCAAGCAGGCGGTTGTGAGTTCGATTCCCGGTACCAATAAAAAAGAAAAAGACCAAAAAAAAAAAAAAAAGATCATGGAAAAGGAAGTGTTACAGTCATGAGCCATTCAGTGTAGAAAATTAAGAGGCTAAGTCAAGGTTAAAACAGTTACCAGGGTTCCCATATTCAATATAAATTAAAGCAAGGAATGGAAGTATTGTCTCTTCAAACTTGCACATGTGTGGTGTCTTCTTTTCAAAGTACAGAGCCCTGAGCCTGTCCATTGAAAACTTCCATGCCTCCTTCCTTATTTTGGTGATGTTGTTGCAGGGAGCTGAGTTAGTTAGAAACATTATAGGCAGTGAGACTGGGCTAGGTCCTCAGAGAAGCCAGTGCAGAAACCTTGCAACTGTGGGGAGACAGACACCATCTGCTATGGGCCAGGCCTCAAGACAAAGGATCAAACAAATCCATCTACATCCTAAAGACTGATATTCTAATTAGTTCCCTATCACCCTGGAGTCCCTATCCCATTCCCCTAGGGGAAAGGTCACAGCTCCAAAATGCCCACTTCCTACTTAACTTGCTTTCTCATTTGTCCCTAATGTAAACAATTTTACCTGAACTACTAATCTTATTTGCTAACTATAGTTATGTCCCACCTTATGCCCATCTGCTTTGTGAGTTCCCAGGCTTCCCCTACCCTGAACCTTCCCGCGCCTTGATTGTACTCAATAAAAGTCCCTAGAAAAGACAGTCTTGGGCAACGGCTCGGGTCCCTTATATCTCTCTTCAGACAGAAGCTTTCTTTCTCTCAATAAATATATTTTACCCTTAACCTCCGTAGTTCCTAAAATTCATTCTTTGATTTTAGAGAACACAAACTTGTGGACATGGTAGGTTGGGAGTTTCATTCCCCTATATCAATATTAGCCCAAGGTTATGACTAGAGAAGGAAACTTCTGCATAAAACTCATACAAACAGGGCTGAAGGTTTAGCTCAGTGGTGTGGGTGCCTGCCTGGCAAGCACGAGGTCTTGAGTTCGATCCCTGGCTAAAAAACAACAACAACAGCAAAAAAAAACCTCTCATACAAACACAAACCACAAAATATCCCAAAAGAAAGAAAGAAAAAAAAAGTCAACATAGCATTTCACTTTCCAAACAGTATTTATACTTTTGTCCTGATTTCACTGCACTGAAGAATCTGGTTACTAGTGTACTCAAAACAGGAAATACACCGAACATGGTGGCATACACCTATAATCCTTGCACTCAAGAGGCAGAGGCAGGGGCTGGGGGTTTAGCTCAGCGGCATAAGCACCTGCCTTGCAAGCAGGCGGTCGTGAGTTCGATCCCCGGTACCGATAAAATGAAAAAGACAAAAAAAAAAAAAAAAAAAAAAAAAAAAAAGAGGCAGAGGCAAGAATATTTGCTGAATGTGTGGCCAGCATGGCTACACTGTGACTTCAAAGCTAGCCAGAGCAGCATAGTGAAACCCTATCTCACAACAAATACAACAGGAATCAGTCTGGTGAGTGTCATGTTCTACAGAGGATTATATGAAGAGTTGCAAGAACAAGTCTATAAGACAGGGGCTTAGCTCAGTGGCATAACTGCCTGTCTGGCAAGTATGAGGTTGTGGGTTTGATCCCCGGTACCATAAAAAACAAACAAACAAAAAGTGTACAGATGCTATCTGAGTTTGAAAGGGAAAATATCTTTGTCAAACCAAAAAAAGTTGAAAATAAAATTTATTGAAAATGAATGAGGGCTGAGGATTTAGCTCAGTGGCAAAGTACAAGGTTGCGAGTTCAATCTCCAGTACAAAAAAAAAAAAATAAATGACATACAAGTGATCAAGTAAATATCATTGGTAAGTCTTAGATCTTTTAAACTTATTCCTCACACAAATTTTTATGTTTCGCAGAAAATTATGTAACACAAAGCAAAATTCATAATAAAATGCTAAATACATACTTTAGTGAATGTAACATACATTTAAATCACTAGTTGTCCATCTGAGGTGCCCTGACTCTGACAGAGCAGAGATTGAACACTGCTATCCCCAATCATGTATTGTAGCATGTATCCCTACAGTGAAAAGCCAGTAAAATTCAAAATTAGCATTAAGATTTGTACTGAATAACTTCTTTTTCTTTTCATTGCTCTAGACTTAATTCAGGGCCTCATAAACATTACTCCAATTAGTTAAAAATGGAGGTACACCCCAAAATATTTATTTAATATTGAGACAGGGATTTGCTCAGTCATCCAGGCTATGCTTGGTGATGTGATACTCCTGTCTCATCTCTCAGGTGGATGTTATTAAGTGTGCACCACAATAGCTCAGTGATATGTACTTTAATGAAAACACTGAAGTCTTGTTAAACCATGGTGACTTGAGAAGCCCAATCTTGAAACAAGAAAGTGGCACAGGTCTGTCATACCAACCAACAAGAAGGTGGAAAACATATCAAAACTTTTCCATGATGACAGCCACAAAGCAATACCTGGTCTCAAATATTTTAAAAAATAAAGAAACTAAAACTTTGAGTGGATGTATCTTAGACTTCCTGAATTCCGTCCTTGTACAATGACAAACATCAAAAACCTCAAAAACAAATTGGAATCTTTTGTACCTATTCTACTTCAAAAACGATGCCCACTCTTTCAAACCTGCAATAAGATGTTTCCTAATTTCCAATTTTGCTGCAAAAATGGAGATTTAGCTCAGCAACCTAAGCACCTGCCTGGCAAGTGCAAGGTCCTGAGTTAATCTCAATAAATAAATAAATAAAATCTTAAGGAGAAATTCATAGTTTTAAGTGCTGACTTATGTCTCTCTCCAAAGTCCCGGGCTGTCCCATTTCCCTTTTACTCCTCATTCCTATTCAAAAAACCCTTTTACTCAATTCCTTCATATGTCTGCATACCTTAACTAGGAGAATTTACTCCTGCTTCAAATCTTGAGTTTTTTTTTTTTTGAGACAGTCTCTCTATGTAGTTTAGGCTACATAGAGTTTAAGCTTCAACTAACCATGTAGCACAGGATGTCCTTGAACTCACAAGGATGGTCCTGCCCCAGCATCATTAGTGCAACGATTACAAGTGCATGACCACACCTGGCTCAGTACTTGTTTTTACAGTGTCCATCTCAATCATTGTTTTAGTTTTTAAAACAATGTCTAGAAACAGTTTACAGAGTACTTCCATTACTTCAGAAATGAGACCTTTTTCTCTTTCCAGTCATACCAACATCACATTAGATACCACAGTTCAACACTTTTCTCTGTCTGGGTGTAACAGGCAGCCCTTTCAGAAAGTTGGTCTTAAAAAAAAAAAAAAAAGTTGGTCTTAGCAAAAACACATTCCCCTTCTAACACATTAACATGCCCTCCACCATTCTCAGTTTCTAAACTCCATAGAAAGACTTACTCAGTTTAAAAGTAAAGAATAATTTGTTTCATTAGCATATAAATTGGGCACCTGGCTAGGGAAGGGCATGAGATAGAGGTGGGAAATTACACATTTTTAAAAGAATTGAAATGACAGGGGCCAAGGATTTAGCTCAGTGGTGTAAGCGCCTGCCTGACAAGGGCAAGATCGTGTGTTCGATCCCCCATACAAAAAAAAAAAAAAAAAAAAAGAATTGAAAAGAGAATACCAGGGGCTGGGGATTTAGCTCAGCGGCATAAGCGCCTGCCTTGCAAGCAAGCAGTCGTGAGTTCAATCCCTGGTACCAATAAAAAGGAAAAAGACCAAAAAAAAAAAAAAAAAAAAAATATATATATATATATATATATATATATATATATATATAAAAAGAAAAGAGAATACCTAGCTAGCAGGTTCTGCCAAGACTACATTTTCTGTCCATCAAGTATAATACAGCTATCTCTCTAGTAAGTTTCTTAGTTTTCAAGAATTTAAAATAAAAATAACGAATTTTTACTCCAGAAGTCCAGTCTGCTTTAAAACGTGCACGCTGAGGAAATTGGTTAGAGATCGGGAATTCAAAGTGGTTGTTTTAAATCCAGATACATCTTTGATAGGTGGACACGAGTCAGCTGAGCAGTTACTGCGCTCTGCTTCTATGTAATTTCCTCTGGGTTGACAAAGCAGCCGAAGGCAGCTCCGTCGGGATGCTTCTCGAAACGAGAGTTCCTCACTATTACTTCCAAAATCTCTCCTAATGGCCTCCTTTTAGTTCAAGCCTCATTTCTCAATATGGCGAGACCACGATAGCGTTTCAGGCAGTAACACCATTGTGAGAAAAGGCCCTTACGCAAATAATGAAAGTGATTATTGTTTTCATTGCTGAGTACGGAACCCAGGGTTTCCCCAAAGCCCCAGCTCTCCTCAGCCTGGTGAAGGCACAGCTGTGCCTGGCTGGGGTGGCACTGGAAGGAATTCTGGGCCGCAGTGCCACAGCGGTGATAGGATGCTGGGGACCCAGAACTCCCCCTGTCTGGGCAAAGCAGAAAAGGAACAGATGATGATGATGCAGAACCAAACTGGAACACCTCAGATTCTGCAGCGAAGCGGAGACTACCCATTGCCATAGCTCACTCTGGCCCGTTCCTTCCCGAACTCACCCGATTCCACCCCGTCCCTGCACCCAGCCCATAACGTCACCATTGTGCGCGTGAAAGGCTCCCAGAATCCTTGCAATGCAGGTTGCAGCCAGCAGAAGTCACAGGAAAGAGTGGTCCAGTCACGTGGGGGCTCTCAGCAATGAACTCAAAAGCTGTTCTTCAGCGCCATGACACAGGAAGTGCCCGCCTCCCTCACCGCACCTTATTGGTTGATTCAGGTAGCCCGCTTTCATCGCTGATTGGCTTCTGCTCCAGTGTGGGCGGGTGCATTGAGCCTGACAAGAGAAACCTGGGTGCAGCTCAAATAATGAATTCTAACGCAGGAATTTCTGGTCCAGTCTAATTCCTAGTGTGACAGTCTCACCTCGCATGAAGAATGCTTGCACTTAAAGGATTTAATACTTTTTTTTTTTTACAGCTTCCATGGTTTTCTTAACGTACTTAGTGGATTCTTCCTGAAAGTGGGTCACAAAGGTGCTCAGAAGGTTCCAGGGTCAGGGCCTTTAGGGAAGAGTCTATCCCTTAAGGGCAGAAAACGTCTTGAGTCTACAGAACCCTACGACAAAGTGGAATGGAGGAAAGCCCTGCTGTTGGAAATGAGGCAATAGGTTTCATTGCCAAGAGTTTCACACTGCGAAGCTCTCAATCTACTTGTTTTCATCCATGAAAATGAATATAATTCCCCTAAGAAAAATACGATTTTTGTGCAAATGAAGAAATTTTACTGGCATGACAGTAATATTCTGCAAAAGAGTAAAGAGAAAAGCAAGCATCCCAACTCCCTCAGACAAACTTCAGACTTTTTTCCAGATAATACCTGAAGTTTGAAGATAAACGTATTTCCAAGCAAGAAAGCTGTTAAATCTCCAACCTGGCCTTATTTTCCCATTCCCCAGCCTGCTGGCCCGCAGCAGCACTGTTCTCTGCAGGGAACTGAGCTCAGCACTGAGGCTGCCATTTGCAAACACAGAAAAGGAGATGATAGGACAAGTGATTTGGCAGGTCCTGGAGACATCTGCAGACACCCAGCAATTTACAAGGGACACTTAAAAGGGATCAGCCCACTGAGATGCAAGATTGCCTGAAAACTTTAACTACTTATGTATGTTGGGGTTTTCTTGCCTAATGTTCACTTTACTCCATCCCTATAAAAGGTACACGCTTCTCTTTGTTCAGAGCAAAAAGGTCTTATGATGCTCCAGCCTGAACCCATGCCATGTTGTCTTTACCCAAGCCTGGTATTCTCTGCTGTTTATTTATTTATTTATTTATTTATTTATTTATTTATTGTCTTTTTCCTTTTTATCGGTACCAGGGATTGAACTCACGACTGCCTGCTTGCAAGGCAGGCATCTATGCCGCTGAGCTAAATCCCCAGCCCCTCTGCTGTTTATTTATGCTATATTTTGGTGCCAATAACCAGAGAGGAAGACAAGCTCTGTTTGGAAAGGTTGACACTCATGAATATCAACCCCAGCAAAGGCTACCTGGCAATATCTTCAAACTTTGGTCCTTACAGCCCTTGCCGCTTTTGCCATAACAGATCTCCCTGGCCACTTCAGAGTAGGAAAGTCCTGTAATCTCTGTCCCCTCTTCCTTTTTTTCCTTAACTCTTCCTCCCAGATGATCTAAATTCTTCATGCAGCATACTCTCAGGAGTTAGTTTCTGCTCTGTACACATGAGAATACTAATCCTGTGTTGACCAAGCATGGTAATCCTGACACTATTTGGGAGTCATTCTCACCATGCACTATGGCTTCAATGCCTATACCCCAATTCAAATGGGAGATTCCTAAGAATTAAGTACACGGTGTAACTCATGAGAAGGTCTTTTCTCTCAAAGAAGTTTTGGAGTTCTCTCTGATAATCAAGGCTGGATGAGCAGTATGCAAATGGATTTTATGTGTGGGATAATGGTGTGAAAATTTTACACCTGGATCAAACTTAATTTGTTGATATAGACCTACAAAGAAGTGATTCTGAATTTAATGTTGCAGCTTATGGAGTAAAGAAAGGGCTTTATAATTTATTTCACTGTTTGGTAGAAATAAGGGTAAAAATGTGGCCCACTGTTCATGAGTTACAGGTGCCTTATATTTATTTCATGGTTTACTGTTGATGAGGGGATCCACAGTTTTAGAGAAATCATAATGCTAGAAGAGATTTGTTATATCAATTCTAACCTGCCACAGTGGAATATTCCATAGAATGTTACCTTCAGTAAAACCTTGAGAAATTGATTCATCAGTGGAGCACCACTATTCCCAAAGAGCCCCATCATTGCTTTACTCTGTATGCCAGAACTTAGAGTGGGGGCAAGAGATGCTCATTTGGGTAACTCAAGGGCTTGATTGGATTCCAAAGTGGCAGTGGTTAAGTGGCAACATATAATTGCCAAAAGCAAAATGCAGGCACTTACGAGAGTGCACAGCAGAAAAAGAACTGTGATCAAAATAATCTGACACCTGTAGACCTATTAATATTTGCTGATTATCCATGGTGTTCCCAAAACTGATATAGATGGGAAGCCTACAAAAATTATAATTTGTAGAATCAAAAAAATGTAAGGGAAAAGGAATTTCTGATCATAGTAAGTTGAATCCATGGCCCCTCAATCAATTACTGGATACAGGTCCAGCCTCTTGGCAGGCCTAGAGAACCCTTTGAATGAAGGGGACACTAGATCCCTTTAAGGACCCTGGTGAACTACCAAAAATGTATACGCTGTGTCTTTCTCCCATTATTCTCCAACAGATCCTAAAACCTTTCTCCAGCATACCTGTACACTGAGGAAGGTACATTTTGGAGATTAGTGGACATTGTTTATGAACCTCTGCTGATTCCGCATGATTTAAAATGTCATTGTAGTCCTCCAGTCAGAGCAGGGGCCTATGGAGCACAGATAATCAATGCAATTTTAGCAAATGTACAACTTGCTGTTTGTTCAGTATGTCCTCAAAATCATTGTGTAATTATTTTTCCCTTTTTTTTTTTTGGTACCAGGGATCGAACTCATGACCTCACGCTTGCCAGGCAGACACTTAGGCCAGTGAGCTAAACCCCCAGCTAATTTTCCTTTCCTGAATGCACAGTTGGGATGTACCTAGCACTAGGCAGACTCTCTTACTGGTCCTTTAAAGTGTAATAGGAGGGCTAGCATACTTGGAAATGCCAAACAGAAGCCATTAGAATTGCTGTTCTTGGGTAAAATAAATAACAGTAGAGAGTGTCATGAAGAATTCAGGTGTAGTCGTTCCCATTACATCTCCATTTAATTCAACTGGGCCTGCACAGAAGACGGATGAATCTCAGAGATCAATAATGCATTACCACAAACTAAATCAAAGTATAGCTTCACTTGCGGCTCCTGTAGCAGATGTGGTGTCTCTGGTTGAGATTAGCTTATCACCTGGTCTTTGTCAGTAGCTATTGAATTGACAAAAGCTTTATTTCTCCATATATACCCATATGGCTAATCTGAAATAATTTGTTTTCAGTGGGAAAGACAAGTAGTACACCTTCAATGTTTTATCTCAGGGGTCCACTAACTCTCCAGTCCTGTGTCCCAACTCAGTTTCTAGCAATCTTGATCACCTTTATCTTTCATGTGGCATATTATAGCCATTATATTATGTTGACTGGACCAAGTGAACAGGAGTTGGGACACTGCTCTGGATTTATCAGTAAAACTCTGAGAACCAGAGGATGGTAAATAAGTCATACTAAAATTAAGGGTTTCTAACTCAGTGAAATTTTTAGCAATTGAATCAAGTAGGACATGTACCAGTATCCCTTTTAAGGTAAAAAATGATTTGTTGATCTAGCTTCTCCTACAACCCAAGAAGAGGCACAAGGCCTAGTGGGGTTCTTTGGATATTGCAGGAAACACCTCTCTCACTTAACATGCTTTACACTGAAGCACTCACTCAAGTGACTCGGAAAGCTGCTAGGTTTGCTTGGGGCCCTTAAAAAGATAAGGATCTGCAACAGGTCTGTTCTTGCTGTGTAGGCTGGTCTGCCATTGAGGTCATATGATCCAGCAAATCCAGTGGTACTTCAAGTGTCAAGTGTAGTAGTCTCTGCTGTTTGTAGTCTCTAGCAAATCCTCATACATTAAGTGCTTCAGAGACCATTAGATTTTGGAGCAGGGCTCTGTCCTAATCTGCATACAATTACTCTCCTTTTGAAAAACTATTCTTTGCATGGTACTGGGCCATAGTAGTGACTGCTTGACCATGAAACATCAGGTAACCAAGAAACCTGAGCTGCTTAACACTGCTGTGAATTTTGTGATATACCAAGTCATTAGTTGTATTTGCACAATAGCAGTTTATCATTAAATGGAAACTTTGGGGCTGGGGATTTAGCTCAGCGGCATAAGCACCTGCCTTGCAAGCAGGCAGTCATGAGTTTGATCCCTGGTACCGATAAAAACGAAAAAGACCAAAAAAAAAAAAAAAAGGAAACTTTATACATAATCAAGATAGAGCAGGTACAGAGGGTACAAGTAAAATACATGAAGAAATTCTTCCAATGCTCATGGCTCCTACACCCCTATATCACCTTTTCTCAACATGTATAATAGGGCCTTATGGATTGTACCATAACTTCAGCTGTCGAGGGGGAAAGCTAGCCATTCCATTTATGTATGGTTTTGCATGTTACATAAACACCATGTGCAAGTGGATAGCTGTTGCTTTACAACCACATTTCAGGATATCCCGCTTGTACACTGGTGAAAATAAACCTTTGCAGAGGGCAGAACTCTGGACTGTGCATGTGGTAGTACAATTTTCCAAGAAGAAAAATGGCCAGATATGCGACTGTACACTGATTCATGGACTTTAGGCAATAGTCTAGTCGGATGTTCAAAAACATGGAGGAACATTAAGTGGAAAATTGGTGACAAAAATATTTGCAGATAAAGGATGTAGACCTCTCTATGTGGACAAGGATGTGATTGTATTTGTATTTCACATAATCGCTCACCAAAATGTGACTTCAGTAGAAGAGGACTTTAACAATCAATTGAATGGTTAAACAATTGGACTGTTAACCAAGTCTGTAGATAGTAGTCAGTTTCTCTTTTCTGCCACCTCATTCATTGCCCCATGAGCTCATGAACAGAGTAGGCATGATGGCAGGAATGGAGGTTTTGCATGCTCAGTGACATGGATTCCATGAACTTAATGAGGC